GTTTATCAAACAGCGTCGTTAAGCGCGCCGCGAAGTTACATGTCATTATGTTACGACTGCGTTGCAATTAGCCGCGTTAATTGCGTACGCTAGGACATTACTACGACCGTAATCGAGGCTCGGAAGTTGCTGTCTCTGACGGCCGGCCTGTCCGAGCCTGGGCTGGCGATTCGAAAACGGCCGGCGTCAGTGCCGTATAGACCGGACTCTGCCGCGGAGATGATCGGCCGTTCACCGAGCGAGACACTGTCATGACAACGGTGACGAATCTCAGCTTCCTGAGGCTGGAAATAATATCGATCTCGCGACTTTCAAAAAAGAAGCATGACATGTTTTTATCAGAATGAAACTGGACGTCTGTGACAAAGAATAAAGTTAAATAGCGAAAATATATAAAATTTCTACCTAAAATATATAAAATACTGAAGCGACGAATAAATAATTTATAATGGTATAAGTGATATAATATGTGGATAACACTTTGTGTTGGTGATCCATGTCGATCCGAGGACTCGCCATTCCCAACTTTTATTTTTAAACTTTTATTCTTCAGAGACTACAAAAGTCCCGAGATACAAAATTTCCAGATTTCGGTGAAACCTTCCTTTGGTCCTATTTTCGGCGCTTGTAATTCTCCCAGGAGACTGTCTGGTAACCTTTCCAGCGCTCGACACATCCTTGCGGTCCAAAACTGGAGTTACGTAAGCCTCACCTTAGATCCGCCGCTGCGTGACAGTACGTTCGCCGACCTCTCGGTGAGATCTCCGTTTCACGATGGATCGCCGATCGACCGATCGGCTCGGCTCTTGGACGATTCTCAAGGGGCGCGCCCGCTTTTATTTATAACCTCCGTCTTTTTACCATCGCGAGAATTGTGTGTGGAAATTCAAGGTATGGCGTGTGGATCGCACGCTGTGCACGCATCGGATCGCCCGTATGCGTAATGGTCGTGGAGCCCAGAATCCTCCTGGTACACGTTAACAATACCTAGGAAGCGGAGCGAGTTACGACTCGGTAGCCACGCAGCGCGAGAATGTTTTACGAGCATCCGGGGCGCGTCACGCTTTACGTGTACGCGTCACACTTTGTCTCAAATTGCATTCGCTGTACCGACGTGCGTGTCGATTCTCGTCGAATTGACGGACCTCCGCCCGTCAAATGGAAATACCATCTCGCGGCGAAAGGGGGAGGGGGAGAAGGACGAAGTCTCACCTGCAAGACTCTTCTGCATAATTGCGGGAGTTACAATCAAGGAAATTCTTCCGCACCGATGCGTGCGATTTCAGATTCAGATAGCAGACTTGTGCATAAAAGCATATCCCGAGCAAAAAATTGTTAGGGCCATCCTCATGAAGCATAAGGCCCCGATAAGGCTGAAAGTAGAATGTCCTCAAAAGGGATGCCTCATTATTACACATCAGGCTCAGAAATGGATTTTTTAGGGATACCTTAGATTTTACGAAATAAGGCTTAGGTAAAGAAAATTGATGATGGGCTTAGAAGGATTTATTAGGGGTGCCTTAAATTTAATAAATAAGTAGGCTTTGATAGGAAAAGCTGAGAAAGGCCTTGGGATTTTTTAGGGATGCTTTAGATTTTACGAAATAACGCTTTAACATGGGAAACTGATATGTGTGGGCCTTAGAAGGATCCTTTAAAGAAGCTTTAGATATACAAAATCAAGTTTTGTTATAGAAAATTGTATTGTTTTAGTAGGTACGCTGGTTCTTTTAAAGATTTTTTTATTATATCGCAATTAAAGACAAATTTTATTAGTTTTATTAGTTGCCATATTCATTAGTCTCTTTCAAGAATTTTTCTAGTATTGCCTTTATTTTGAGATGCAGCAAATTTTAATAAAAATAGTGGCAGGATTTTTATGTGTAAAGAATACTATATTTTATTGCAAAGTATGCTATATTTTTAAAATAAAAAATTCTTGTTGTATAACTATGTACTAACAAGGTTATAAAGAAATTACAGTTTAAATTTCTTGGAAAGAAGAGAACGAATATTTTTACTTAAGCAATAATAAAATATTTCCTTATAAGCACTTATTAATATTACCTTATAAGGATCCGTTAAACCATTTGTTACACATCTTGCAGAGCTCTTGTTTTTCTATCCCTATTAGGACCCGATTAATGTTAGGGAAAAATAATCAGGCCCTTACCAGAGCCCTATTAATTCTTCTACTCGGGATCTCGCCGAGCTTTCCGCTCCCCAAATTTCGCTTTTGCAGAAATCGCGTTGCTTATTGAGAAAAAACGGATAATCAATTTCTACAGTTTTCACGAACGACTGCGTAGATCGCCTTTAGGCGTAGACCGCCTTTCAAGAGAGGTCTCGGTAGCGCCAGAGGAGAACTTGAATCTCAATGATTACTCGACGATCGTTCTTTTGCTCAACCTGGCAACCCGCCGAAAATACAAGCACCGTCTTGACATAATTTGCGCCGAGTGCACCGGCAGTCCGCACCTCCGTGCGCTTAATTGCGCAATTACTACAGAGGTACAAGTTTTAAGGCGAAACCACGCAGTCTCGCCGCGGGCGTTTTGTTCTTATTGTTCGTTGCGAGATACGCTCCTAGCGATATTTTGCAACTGAATTACTCGCAATCGGAAAAGGAACGTTTGCCGAGAGCGACTCTGAACGATTCGAGCGCTGTTAGATTCAATATCGGCCTCGTGCGCAAAGGGAGTCGTGCACGCACGCGTTTCCTCAGCCTCGGACGAAGCGAGCGACCGGAAATTCTCCGAAGAGTGGATCGATCTCGCTTATCAAGGGTCAATTTTCAGGACTACGGAGAGCTCTTTCGCTTCATGCAGGCCCGACGATTCCACGTGAGCTCTCTCGCCGCGGCCTATTCCCGATCACGCACCTGATTAAGTCCGGCCATTCGTTTCGCGCGTGGGTTGGATCCACGAAAAGTGAAAAGCTAAGCCAGAAAGGCGTAGCCGCGCTGGAAAGGAGCCGAGAGTTGGCGGCACACATATTTCGCATCGGAGAAAGTCGCACGTACCTCCCTGCCCCCGCCTTTTTTCCCTTCCTTTTTCTCTCGTCTCTCTCCCTCCTCCCTTTCACCCCCTCGTCAGTTATGCATAGGTACGTATAATCACGAACCGTGCATTAACGTCTTACGCAACGCGTGCCGCAGCCTTTATTAAACGTACGACGACGGGCTCGAGGAGCCGACGAGCGAACTTGCCGAGCGATTAGGACGAAAAATAAGCCCCGTGTCCTGCCCCGTGTACCTCGTCCGTGTGCCCGTCTGCACCACCTTTCCTTTCGTTTGCGTTGTCTCGAGGGGTACTCGAAGGAGAGCACGGGAGAGTTACCGGGTAGTCGACGATCGAACAGGGCATATTTCAAATTCCTCGATGCCGTCCGACCTTCTTCCACGCCTCTTCTCGAATCGCCGTACCTCCGAGGGCTTCGGCACCTTCGCGGCACCTTCGAGTCCTATCGAAGGTGTAACTGTCATTTTTCGAGATATCTCAGAGGGGTGAGAGAGAGAGAGAGAGAGAGAGAGAGAGAGAGAGAGAGAGAGAGAGAGCGGCGTATCGACGGCACTTCCATAGAACACTTTCGAATTCGGGTCATCCTCCGTTTCGTTAAGTATGACGCGAAGATTACGGTGTATTTAGCGGGGCCAACGCACGGCTAAATATTTTTCTGAACGTCGTCGAGGCAACGGATCGATTTAATCCGTGCTCGTCCGTCCGGCGCGCGGCGGAGAACGAAACGTTAGCCCGACGATTCAGCCGAGCAACGCTCGGCTCTCGCGCGCTCGGTGCGTCGCGCGCGGCTCGTCCAGGTGCGTAATTTCAGGAACGCCGAGAATCACTCGCGCCTCGGACCGTCCGATGCATCTCGAGCCCATCACTACGTGTCATCGGTACGGAAAACCGTGAGCTAGACGACGTGCTGGATGACGTGCGGCCTCCTATCCTAGAAGTACCGTTGCGACCGACGATGCTGATGCTGGACACTCCGTACCGCTCCGTTCCAGCGTACGAGTACATAAATCCAGCGAGATGTCGATATTGAATGATCTGACGCATAGTTGTCCGATACTTGGCGCACATTACGCGGTATTAAGCGGGATCAACATTCGCAGCGTTTGAACTCTGCAGGTCTCTCCACGTAGCGCATGAATCGCGAGACGCTCGATCGATTCCTCCCTTTCCCTTGAAGTGCGACCTCGCGTGAAATATTTCGCGATGATCGAAGAATCTGCTATTCTTACGCAGAAAGAGATACTCGCTGTTGGTGATGGAAAAATCGAGTGTTTTCGTCACGGTGAAATTTTCATCACGACGATGGTTTTATAGATCGCTATGAGATGTCCTTACACCGCCCGATCCTTACGATCATTCACGTTCTCGCGAGTCTCACGCATCTGCAAAGTATCGCGTCAAGCATGCAGTCGCAATTACATTATTCTTTATCGAGTTATTAGATCGCGTCGGAATCAGGTGCAACGCGAAGTGAAAAGAAATGACCTCGAGTCAACGGCAATTGTCGCCATTGATTCCTGCAAATCCCATTCACTCGTCAAGATTTACCGTTTGACTTTTACGACTGGATAAACCACGACGTTGCAGTCATCTGAAAGGTGTCCTTTTGCGAGCGAGATATGCATGAAAATTCTTTGCGTAAAATGTAGCATAACTGATGATATTAATGTTCGCCAAGAAATATGTCGAGTTTTTCCTCGGGAAAGAACGAGAGGCAACAAATTATTTCTAATATTCCAACAATTGTATAAATTATTTCTGATATTCCAACGATTACATAAAACAGCCCTTGTATTATATTTCGTTACTTTCTCTTGATATATAATGGACGTTGTGCTTTCACTCTATTAAACATGTTCCTTCGTTCTTGCATTCTGCTAGCAGTACACTGTGATTTGAAAGGTAGACATTTTGCCGGGACAATTTAATGAATTAATTTTCATGATTAATACGCTGATTATATTGTGCGATTCGTTACAGATATGCGCTGGTTTCGCGGCCACGCCGAGGCACCGAGACTTTTGCGCCTGAGTCCTCTTCGAGCCGACGAAGATGTCAACGAGACGTCCTATCATTTCCGCACAACGTCTCGATGCAGAGGTGAGAATAATCAAGGTGAAGGCGAAGCGACTGTGTACTTTTTACGCAAAAATTATACTTTCCCATCATCATTTGCGACGTGAATATTGAGCGATTGTTTCTTCTCCTCGCAATTTCCATCTTCGAGATTGCCGGAAAATTATACGTCAAATTCTCTCGTGATTCTCTCGATACCTACAAAACAGGCCATCCAAATAACGTTGAAAATATACAAGATAGAAAAAAATATTGTAGGAGGCGAGGGACTTTTTTTCTGGTCTCAATTTTTTAGACTCAAGAATATGCTGTTACAATAGAGCTTTTGTTAACTTGACCTTTGGAAATTTCAAAAACTTTTCCCAAGTTTTCCCTAAATACCTCGAGAAATATCAGACAAATTGAAAAATGTTTCAGACAAAAGTTATTTAAATTAATTGGTAGAAAAAGATAATATAATAAAAAATCTGGGTCTCCATTTGAAAAATTCAAGGCGACCTTCCTGTAAGCTCGATGACGCTGTTCAAGGTCACGCTAATATTGCTATGTGATGCGTCACTTAAAGCCCTGCAACTTTTATATTTAATATTTTTTTCTATCTTGCGTATTTTCAAAGTTATTCAAGTGCCTCACCTTGTATATGAAACTTCAGCCGCGGAAAGTGCAAGAATTGAATTCTCGCACAAACGAGGCGTCTTCTGAGCGTTACGTGTATGGACTCATCGCGTGCCGCCGGTATCGTGTGCGTGGCATGCGTGGCAGGATCCGAATCAGAATTCCGTCCTGAATGCAAGGATTACGACTCAACGTTCCGTCAAGCCTGAGTCCTGAGTGACTCGCTAAAAAGAGAGAGAATAGAAGCAAATTGACACCGTCGGCCTACGCGAATGCGCGTTAATGTAAAGGATCATTGTCGAGGAGGCGATTCGCGGCTTACAAGTATGAGAGTGCGCCCGAGGACGATAATGCAATTGACAGTGACAGCGACGGCGCGACGAATCAGCTCGCTAATTATAATCACTGCTAATAGAAACAATAAACGGGGAACGAATTCATGGATTTTCTCTTCTTTTCAATGTTAACATTTTCAAACACGCCACGTGCGCTCGAGGACATGTTAATATTAATATTAATCTAGTAGATTTTTAAATATAATTATCAATCTTGCGGTATCTTTTATTTTCAATTGAATAATCTCTCTCTCTCTCTCTCTATAAAGAACTCCAGGTTGGTTGTTGGTTGTTGGTTAATTAACAGACTTTTATCCGCAAGATTGTTTCATCTAACCGCACAAATGTCGCGTTAGGACTCGACGTTGTATATTAGTCAGCCCGCTTCTACGAGCTACTATATGTATATAAGATAACGTAGTCGCGCCGTTTTAACGTCAGACATAATTTAAAGAACGATAGGACGTTACGTAACACAAGCATCTGATCTATTTTTACTTATATCCGCTTGAGCGCTCCGTGCAAGAATGTTCATTTAAAATTGCTTGCCACTTAAAATCACTTGCCACTTTATAGTTTTACGCTTTACACTTTGGAAAAAATATGCGCCTGTCTCTTCAAGGCTCAATGGCGGAGAGAGGTCGGCAGTTTGATAGGATTTTATCCGCCTGTTATTCTCGCTTTGCTTCATTTCACTTTACAATCTTGCGCGAATGCGCGCTTTCCCGAATTGTACTTGTAATACCCAAGTGAATGATTGGACGAATCGCGAAGTGCACGATGACGGACTAATTTCAAATGAGCGAATCTCGCATACTCACGTTGCAGATTGAAAATGGTAGAGCCAGTTGCGACAAACGGTGACTCTGTTATCACCGGTCATACATATCGCGATCGCTGGCGAGGTTTCGTCTAGTTAAAATCGCAACTTGCAATGTCGAAGAATAAGCTGCTGCGTGCGCAACTGCCGACACATTTCTTCACGCATTTTCCAGGAATAAAAGCATTTCACGTCCCTCAGCCGACAATTACAAGTCTCATTTTCTCTTTTCTTCTTTCCTTGTCAGACAAGTTCCATATGGATCGATCAGGACTAGGGTTTCCAGTCCCGGGATCCCGAAAATACTCGGGATTCAACATCACAAATCCCGGGATTTCAAAATTTAATAGGGAAAAGAGGACCACCTTGAATTAGCGTATCAATATTTAATGTCAATACCTCCAACAAGCGTAGAATCTGAACGAACGTTTTCAGTAGCTGGGTGTATTGGAACTAAGATCAGAAGTCGACTTGGAGATACCACATTAGATGCATTATTATTTCTGAGATCGTTTTTTCAAAATAAAAAGAAGGAATGAAAGTTATTTCTATTTTCATTGTTTCTTTTCATTTTTATTTTGGATTCTTTTTATTTTAATATTTTTAACTATCGCTTTTGTTTCAGATATTTTTTAACAAAACTTATGTTTTATTATTTTTGAAGTCGCTTTTTCAAATGTGAAAAAGAAGAAATAATTATTTTTATTTTTATTACAAAAGCTTTAATTTTTAATTATAACGGTTTTTGTGCAATCATTAATGTAAGTTGCTTTCATTATTACTGAAATTTTATTTTTTGTTTGTCATAATGTTCTTAAAAGTCTATGAATGTTCTATAAATAAAATAATTCTATTATTTGTAAATATTCCTTGTTTCTTTCTTTACATGTATATAATCCCGGAACTAGTCCCGGGATCTCGGGATGGAATCCAAAAAATCCCGAAATCCCGGGATCCTAAATTGTATCCGGGATTGGAAACTCTAATCAGAACGCTACCTTGAAGAAACTGCATAAATTCATGCATTTTCAGCTTTATCCAGAAAAGTTATCCGGAAATTTCAATGAGCGAAAATATTAAACTGTCTCGCTTTATTAAACCTCGCTTCTTTCGCTCGAGACGTGTTATGTCACCGTGTGGCGTTTTTGTTATCTACGAGAACACTATAAGTGACACAAATTAGTCATAAGGACATCCTGTTTTACGCACATCCCGCGCGAAACGTCAAACGTAGCATCACTCTGTGCGTAATTGTAGATTCGAGGAACTGTTAGTCGCCGAATTGACGAGTCGTTAACCGCCGGACTCGTCAGTTTTGCGGGGAGCATCGAAAGGCTCACAGGATCATTCTGGACTTGGGAGTCGTACAATCCGGATCTCATTAGCGTTTTGCGCTCGTAGAAAGTAGACAGCGATGAAATTGTTCGATCACGTTTATTCCACTATCCGTTTAAAGTTCCGTGAGTACTCTCAAAGTGCATTGCTCAAGGATCTCCACAAGATATGAAAGATTGTTCGTTAGATCAGACCTTTTACAAATTATTATTGAATTAGAAGAGCTTGTGAAATGTCTCGTGCGTATGAAGGAAAAGGAGGAAAAGAAGGAAAAAAGATGCGGAGAGTTGCGTCATCGCGTCCGCGGACTTACTAACGCTTTGCTCGGCTCACCTTTCAGACACGTCGCCGGTGCGGTGGGTCCGGAGGAAATCCTCGAGTTCCGAGTCCGAGAGGAACTGCTACAACGTGCAGACCTCCCAAGTGACAACCGAGCGGGCAAGCAGCAAGAAGGACAAGAAGAAGATCCAGGACAAGCGGCGGAGGGTGTGCGAGAAGCGAAATCCCCTGCTGGACCGCGTGAAGAGCACCAGACTGAGTTTCTTCAAGGACCGGGACTCCGACGAGGAGGACGAGAACGAGAATGAGAACGGGCACGAGCACGAGAACGAGGAAGGCGAGAACGACGAGACGGAGCGCGTTCAGTTCCGCTCGATGTGCGAGCTGAGGCATCGCGGTCTAATCAGAAACGAGTTCCGGCGATCCATCTGCGAGTCCGACCTCCTGCAGGACAACGTGACGGAGGAGAGCAAAAAGAGCCACGCGAAGAGGAAACGGCGCGCCAAGTCGCAGAGCAGGTTGCCGTACAAGAAGCATCAGGAGGAACGATTCTCCTTCTTGGGCTTCCGCACGTCGACTCCTCGGAAGGCGCGGCCTTCCGAGTGGCCGAAGGAAGACGCGGCTCATCAGGAGGACGCGATGCCTTGCGACTACCGATGGGAGAGGAGCAGCAAGTACTTCTTGCAAGAAGGCCGCGCTCTCGACCACCATCGGCCGGTCGCTCAGCAACTCGGCGAGGTGGCCCAAACCGCCGACACGATCCTGAAGAAGGACACGCAATTCGACAGTATCACTCCGTCCAGCTGCCTGGCTGCGAAATTCCGCGCGATGCAGGACAGATACCTGAAGAGCTCGACGAGCAGGCTGATCGCCAAGATCTACAGGAAAGACTGCAAGGACCAGCGAGAGAGACGAAGACTGCGCAGCTTCTCGTACGGCACGTTGCCGGGCCTGGACGAGCTGCGGACGAACCCGCTGTACGAGAACCACCTGGATCAGGACGACAACGACTCCGGCATCCTGGACAACGATTCCGCCACCAGCTCGCTTCTCGACGACAGGTGCAGCAGCGGCGCTTCCGGCCCGCTCAACGGCAGCGGCAGCCAGCACAACGACTCTTGCCTCAGCTCACCGCCGCCTCAGCTTCCACCTCGAAGACCCTTCTCGACCGCCGTGGTGGACATCGACCGAGCCGCCCGGCTGTTCTCCAGCCTGGACATGTACCACGACGAGGTGAAGGACCTCGTGACCGAGACGAGCCTCATCGACGAGTACCCAAGCATCTGCCAAGCGGCGAACGGCACGCTGATAGACCAACGTCAGCCCGCGCAGGTCTCCGCGGAGAAAAGCAGCGCGGACCAAGGGAGCAAAGGGAGAAACGCGGCGGGCGAGGAGCCCAAGCGGAAGCTGCAAAGCGGCTTGCAGGCGATCAAGAGCAAGACCTGCGTGACGGAGACGATGGTGGTGAAGCTGCCCAAGGAGACGGCCGACCAGTGTCTGGGGATCTTCATAGCGAAGACCGCAGAGTCCAACCCGGGTTACCTGGTGGCTCACGTAGTGCCGAACGGACTGGCCGACAAGGAAGGCACCCTGAGGATCGGCGACGAGATCCTCATCGTCAACGGCAAGAGGCTGCGCGGTCTGTCGATGACGGAGGCCAGGAGAATCCTGGGCAATGGCAGCGGGCCCGGTGACGTCGATATCGTCGTCTCCAGATTTTCGGATGTCGATCAACGCGCGAGGCGGCTGAAGGAGAGCAGCGTGGACTACGAGAACGTCAGCATGGAAGACGGCCACGGGACCATCGTCGAGACCTCGCCCGGGTCGCACTTTAGGAAGCACCAGGCGACGAGGAGCCAGCGGGACAGGAAGGACGAATCGAGCAGGTCGGCCTCGTCGGACAAGTTCGCGACGAACCTCGACTGCGGCCTGTCGCGCAGCGTCTCCAAGTTCTGCACTCTCCCCAGGAGACCGAGGAGCACCGTCTCCACGTTCCTCACGGTGGTCTTCGAGAAGGGAGCCGGCAAGAAATCCTTGGGCTTCACCATTGTCGGCGGGAGGGACAGTCCGAAAGGAAGCATCGGTAATTTTCGATATTGTCGCTTCGCTCATCGATCTTCACGTATTCTGTGCATCTGTTGATTAACATTCTGTGTCTTCCAATCTGTCGCAGGTATCTTCATAAAGTCGGTACTGCCCGGTGGACAGGCCGCCGAAGATGGCCGCTTGCGCGCGGGTGACGAAATATTGGCCTTGAACGGCCATGTCTGCCACGACTTGACGCACCGGGAAGCCGTGCAGCTCTTCCGCAACATTAAAAGCGGACCGGTCGCGTTGCATCTGTGTAGACGCGTGAAAAATCGTGAAACGCAGTAAGTCCGCTTATTCCATCCGATGTTTGGTCCGGTACGAATCAATGTCATTGGTATTTAATTTAAATTTAATTAATTTAAATTTAATTTAAATGGGAATGCCAGTTTAGTCGATTCGAGTGGAGAATCGGGAATAACATTCGTCGGGAGAGGGCAGACTTGTTCGCATATCGTTTATTTGAAATCGCTTATATGTCTCTTCTGTGAAAACTCTTTTGTGTCCTCTGTTTGTTCTGTTTTAGAGCACCGAAGGCCAAGTCGTGCGCAGATCTTTTGCTCATAGACACGTGAAAATCGTCGTTCGTCGACGGCAGATAGAACTGCGCCGCAACGACGCGTCGTGTACAAATACGAATTATGTATATAGTGTACATTGTCGGAACTCGCTAGAAATAAAACAATTATTTAATAACAATTACCTAATTAGTAGTAATGCATGATACATGGTACCGTCGGTACCCTCAAAGTACACGATACATCCTCCTTGTTATCCGCTACGATCGAGAAAATGCATACAATGGATATTTCATCTCGCGCCTCGTAATATTATTCGTATAAAGTCTTAATTTAAAGATATGCGATAATAATAGGAGGTTACGGTGCCAATTATACAAATAGCGCAGAGTGGCGCGCGAGAAAGTAGCCCGAATAATAAAGTTTTATTAGCAATAAAGGAGTAACAAAATTACGCTGCGCGCACACACACACACACACACACACACGTACACACGCACACACACGCACATACATACGCATAGACGTTATCTATGCAGCGTAACAACGAGCAAACCTACTTTTTCGCACGCTATTCTGCATCACAATAAGAATAATCGGCTTAATTAACTAGGCAGATGGAGTACCGCGCGGAATAAGTTATGAGAGACAGAGAGAGAGAGAGAGAGAGAGAGAGAGAGAGAGAGAGAGAGAGAGAGAGAGAGAAGAAAGAAACTTGGAAAGTCATTGATTTCTTCCGACAGACTAGAATCCTAAAACGCCGTTTTTTGCCGTGAATGATGATAGGCTGGATTCACATCTAAAGAGCACTTCCGGTGGGCAGTTTTCTCCTCGTTGATACTATTTAGTACGGCGCACTTTTTAAGGTGCTTCTAGGATATCTACAAAAATTATCCCCTCGTTAATCTCGCCTTGCCGAAAACGAGCGTTCACCTGGGTCCTTGGTTTTACCTGTGTCTCCTCGTAATTTCCAGCTCGACGACGCCTTCTCTCACCGTCTTGAACAATTCAATGACCTCCTGATGTGTGCGTCCCTTCAAGATCTTCCCGTTTAAACTCAGTATTTCGTCACCTGGACAGCAAAACACACAATACTTTAGATACTGAATATTTGAGTAAAACGTAGACATAGAATTGGGACACGAATTTGGTGGGGCTGCGACATTAAACAAGAGAAATGACGAAACAGAGATATTCAGTTTTTAATTGAATAATATTACACAGGAATAATATTACAAAGGAATAAGATGTGACAATAAATAAAGTGTATTTTTCTCTCCAGCGTAGAATTATTCCGGCATAATTAATGAGAGTTTCGCAAATATATTGTTTTTGTTTGTTTGTTTGTTGCATCAGGTCGCAATTTTTACGACATCAAATTTTATCGGAAGCTCGTCATCGCGTTGCGATCGAACTTTAATTGTACAAGTTTGAAGCAAAATTTCCGGGAGTTTCGATGACAATAAGCGCAAATGAGAAATAAATCACTCACGAGAATACCACAGAGCGATCCCGCGAGCGAAAATGTGCCTCGGACGCTGACTGTGCTCCTGCGCTTACACAAATCGAGTAACTAGCAGACCGTTATTCAAGTATGCGGTAAGGGAGAGAGCGTCAACGAGGAAACCGCGCGATATAGGCATTTCGTAAAAACTGACGTGCTTGGTTGAAATTCAAGACGTGAGAACGCAAGACGCGTACCATCCAAGGGACCAGCCGGCGGTATATCGGCATGTCGATTTTCCGCAGATAGTACGCTTGACCGCTCAGCGAGTTCTAATGTATCCGACATACTAACGGCGCGTTATATAAATTTGAAGAAATAATCGAACGCACCGAGTATAAAAGAGAGCCTAGGGAGAAGCAGAGAAAGTTTCTACATCTGGATCGAAATGTCCTTTTTCATCTTTAAATACTTTCATAAACGGGCCCCAACGCGAATCTGTTTATGATGTAAGAAGGAAAATAGTTTATTGGTGCGTATGATTTATCTGCGCGGTGTGAAGTGAAGCGAAAGAACGGCAAAGTTAAGATATTATTCGCTCGAAAAAGATGGGAATATAAAAATTACATATTACACCACTCAGGAAGAGTGTGCGGCTAAATTGAAGATAACAGATTGCGATTAGAGCGAAAGTTACGTTTTCTTTCAACATGGCGACATCAAATTTATCGTAGTCACCCGATGTCAACTTGTTGTATCCCGTCGCAAATGTCTGGTCGCAGCCTTCGCGAGAATCTCGCTGGAGGAGCAACCTTTGAATCCCTGCCGAAAGAGTGGAGCATCTAAATTCTGCAGGCGTCACGACGGAGACTCGAGGAAACGGCTCATTTATGCGGATACCGTTGTCACCGATGACGACACGATACATCATCGCTTTCCGATGAAAAGAAGCGGGAGCGGCGGAGGGAAGCGAAGAGAGAGAGAGAGAAAGAGAGAGAGAGAGAGAAACAGAAGAAAAACGGTAGAGCGCAGCACGATTGTTTAGATATGCAAGCGGCGTTAGCTGTCGGATTAAAGATTCGACAGCTGTCTGGCGAGATCTTCGGCTCGTCGTGGTGAATACGAGGCGAGGACTGCTGGAGGCCAGGCGAGGCCGTCCGTCGAACGTGCGCTCGACGTATCGGCTTGCGCGGCGTTTCCTCATCCGGCGACTGATAGCTTTCGAGCGAAAAATATTCGAGCGCGTCGACGTGATCGTACGCGATGACAACAATTCGAAATCGAGATTACCTCAAGTATCATTCGAAAATTTGAATATGCTCACAAGTTCTGAAACGTTTCGGGTATTCTTTCAGGACTCTCGGTGTGTTGAAAATTTTCAGGATACTCAAAACCTTCAGAAAGAGACCTGCAGAAACTCCCGATCCGAGTGTTTATTCGAAGCGATTTGAAACGTTTCTCCTTCTGAGCGATTTCGTGAATTCATAATTAACTCATAAGATCCAGTAGTCTTTTAGCAGCGAAACCCAACCGAGGGACTTCTGGATGTATTTTGGGCTGATCGAATCGATAGAATGATGATTTGAACGATGTTTAAATTGACGAGAGAATCAATTGAGTCTCTAAAGACTCCTTTGGTCTTTTTGTCTGAATTATTATGATTTTCTATAATTTACAAAGTTTACCTTGGAGCAATGACCTGGAAATGTCGGCCTGGCCACCAGGGAAGACTCTTCTGACGAAGATCCCCATGTCGCCTCTCGGACTATCTCGGCCACCTACGACGCTGAAGCCCAGACTCGGCTTGCCGTAGCCCTTCTCGAACCTGGCCACATGTTTCGTCAGGTAATGCTGAGATTCTGTCGCGGGCTCCTCGGGATTGCTGCTGGTGTCCTTTTGATTTTGAGACAAACGCGAGAGCGGCAGGAAGTCGGGCCTCTTTCTCAGCTGGACGGGTTCGGCTCGCTCGCCATTGTCGGCCGTTACCTTCCTCTCGGCGGACGAAACATAACTCGCCTCGACGTCGATCAATGACATGTTGGAGAGGTTCTTCGCGTTCTCCATGAACTCGAACTCGCTGGATAAATTGGCCGGCGGGTTGTCTTCGAACATTTGCGGCACCGTCTCGTCGTAAGCCGTGGTCAGACGTACGGTGTTGCCGGAGAAGGACCTCAGGAACTCCTGGACTTCGTCGAGGCTCTCCAACGTCTTCAGCTCCTTGCTCTCGACCTCCACGATCTCGTCGCCCAACCTCAGTCTGCCGTCCCTGCAAAGCAGACGTCTTTCTTTTTTCCCTCTTCTCCAAAAGCCACTTTCTAAGAGTCGCACTTTCTAAAAGCGCCCGAAAACAAAATCGTGATAAAACCGAAGCGGTAAAAGTGAAATGAGGGACGATGAGGAGGAAGGAGAAGAAAGAAGAACGGGATTGACCTCGTTCCCCGATGAGACATCTCATCTCACCTGTGAGCGATGCCGTCGCTTTCCAACTGCACGATGATGTAGCGCGGCTCTCCCAGTCTCTGCTGCGCCAGTCGGATCCCCAGGCTCTCACTGGGATCCCTCTTGTGCAAGTGTATGACGCGACATCGGCGCACCCTTGTCAGCGGCTGAATGATGTCGCTGAGGAACCTCGTCTTATCCTGCTGCAGCCTCATGCGATGAGGCGACACGTCCAACATCTTCGATGTTGCGCCCGACAGGAAGTTCAGCTTGTCGTCGCAGCTGGCGAGCCGAGGCTCCTCCAGCCTGGCGACAGCCAGATCCTCGTCAAAGGACGAGCCGTCGATGCTGGGCAACATCCTGCCGGAGCCGCTCCGGTGCCACCTGAGCCCGTCGATCCCTTCGATGTTCATCAAGGGCACCGCGTCCGGTCGACCTTCGTCGACCGCGTCGGAGTGCCGCCTGGTCGTCGCCTTGCCGGCGTCCTGGCACTCACTGGGCGTCGAGCTTCTCATCGGCTTCTCCGCTTCCGAGTCGATGACGCTACTGGTGTCGGAGCTGCATTTGAGGCTCGAGCCCTCGTTCTCGGAAACGGCGACAAACTCGCCGCGAGGCCCGTCGCTGTCGTAGCCGGACTCGTTGGAGCTCACGTAGTGCGACGACAGTCGCTGCTCGCAGCTGGACGACGCGGAGTTTCGCCGATTGTTCCTTATGCTGGTCATCACGTCGAGGTCCGTCGCGCTGCAATTGTCCGGCATCGCGGGTTCGATCCTTGTCGCGGCCAAGGTCACCTTCTCCTGGACAAGCTCGTCGCTGATCTGCTGGAACCCGGTACCCTCTCGAAGCGACAACAGGCTATTGTCGAAGAGACTGTAGCAGCCGGCCGCGGTACTCCTCTGCTGGAAGCTGCTCGTCTCCGCTCGTTCCAGGCGACTGGTGTACCTGTCGGTCTCGTATCCGCTGGAATAACGCCGGAATTCCGTGCAGGAAGTGCGTATCAGTCCTGGGGCGTTCTCCTGATCCCTCGCGGGATTACCGTGACCGGTTCCGCTTCCGATTCTCGATCTCCTGCGGCCGAGAGTGGTGGTACCGTTGTAGGAGTCCTCGATCTTCAACGTCGGGAAGTGCTCCTCCGAGGTGGTCTTGAACAGCCTCTCGTCCTTGGCGACCAGCGAGCCGTGACGCTCCTCGGGCAACACGGACAGCTTCGATCGCAGGAAGGCGTACGGGAAGCTAGACTTCCTCGCCTCCTTCAGGTCGCAGCTGCTGCTCTTCCTCATGCACGACGACGGCTCGTCGTCCTTCGACCGTCCGAGGTCGTAAGTGCTGAAGCTCACCGAGGGGCTTCCCAGCGAGCTGGACGAGCAAGAGTCGCGCCTCGCGCAGGCCTCGAAGATTCCTTGCTCGTTGCCTCGGTGCCCGGACGCCAGGTTGTCGCAGGACACCGTCTTGTCCTTCCTCGCTGATATCTGCAGGTCTATCCCTTCGGAGGGGTCGTCGCCCTTCACGTAGGTCGGACTGTTGTTCAACTGGCTGGTGCTGCAGCTCCTGAACAAGCTCTCCTTATCCAATATCTTTAGTCTCTCCTCGATGTTTTGTGACCTTCTGTTGGTTCTCGTCGAGTTCAGCATTCCGGTGGAACCCATTCGGATGAAGAAGGACTTGAAGGGCGACGGAGACCGCTGACCGGCACCCGGCAATTTTCTATTTAGTTTCTCGTCCAGATGCAGCTTGCTCAACTGCTGGACGTTGATGCCGTTGTTATTATTGTTGGAATTGCTGTCGTTGTTTTTGATATTGTTGTTGTTGTTGTTGTTGGCGCCACTGCGATGAAGCTTGTCGGGTCTTTCCGTGACGAAGCAAACGGCTTCGCGAGACCTGCCCTGCCGAAACGAATCGATCTTTTTGCTCATCCGGCGGCCCCAAATTCCTAGACCTGACACTACGGAGAAGGATAAAAAAAGGATAAAAAAGGAGTCGCGTATCAGTGAGATTGTCGATCGCAGAATCCGTCGTTAAAATCGAAATCACGGTTTTGCGAGCGAGATGTCGTGCAATATACGACGAATTAGTGCAATAAGACGCTGCAAAGTACGCTTCATCGTCATTACTTAATATCGCAGCGCAACAAGAGGACACCCCAATGTTACACATTGAGCGCGAACTAAAAAGCCGTTATTCCGTAATTATTGAATGATTCGAAGCGGAAAAACGGCAAGGGGCAACCGGCTGCTGAATCGCTCGAGTCCCGGTCCTCAATGAGGACGGGCGGAAGGTACAAGAAACAAGGAGTAAGACATTGAAACAGTAGCGCGCCAGCACGGAGAGGGGGGGGGGGAGGGGGCGAAAAAACTGCTCGATGAATAACCACTCCCGCGTTCGACATATGGTCGTTCTCAGGAGGGACGTCGCGGCTATCCGCCGCCATATACGAGCCCGAGGCCGCGGTTCCGCGTAGTTTGGGACTACTTTTTCGAGGTGTCATCCCGGCTAACGGGTCCGCGAGCCGCCGACACATGAGTTCTACATAACGAGAAACGATTAAAAGGCTGCTCGGGTATCGGGCACGCGTGTTTTGCGATCGGGCCGCGGCACGGTACGGTGCGCGAGCAGAAAGCGCTATATTGTGTCGCGCTGCAACAGCCTGTGATTGTAAGTGAGCGAGCTGCGATTAACTGTGTATTACGGTTACGCAAAATGCTGCTCGTAGCGATGAAACCGTTGTAGCCCGGTCGGTTCAACAACTGGCTATCGTTCCATTGAGATCTAAGAGCAGTGGAGCCTGTACGAGTCGCGTGTTCGCGTCTGCAGACTCATCTCGCATATTTCCCGAGGAAAAAATTGTTAGGGTCATTCTCGAACGAAGCATAAGGCCCGATAAGGCTGAAAGTAGGATGCCCTAAAAAGGGATGCCTCGTTATTACACCACATCAGGCCTCGAGATGGATCTTTTAGAGATACCTTAGATTTTACGAAATAAGGCTTTAATAAGGAATACTGATGTGGGCCGTAGAAGGATTTTTTCTAAGGATGCTTTAGATATACAAAATCAAGTGTCTTGTTATAGAAAATTAACAAGATTTTAAGCGTGTAATAAAATTGCCATAGTTTAGTATTGTTTTAGTAGGTACGCTCAATCTGGTTCTTTTAAAGATTTTTTAATTATATCGCAATTAAAGACAAATTTTATTAGTTTTATTAGTCGCCATATTCATTAGTCTCTTCAAAGGATTTTTCTAGTATTGCCTTTGCTTTGAAATGCAGCAAACTTTAATAAAAACAGTAGCAGGATTTTTGTGTCTAAAGAATGCTATATTTTGTCATAAAGCATGCTATATTTTTAAAATAAAAAATTCTTGTTGTACTTACTAACAAGATTATAAAGAAATAAAGAAATTACAGTCTAAATTTCTTGGAAAAGAAAGAACGAATTTTTACTCAAACAATAATAAAAATATTTCCTTATAAGGCCCTATTAATATTATCTTATAAGGAGCCGTTAAGCCATTTGTTACACATCTTGTCTTTTTATCCCTACTAGGACCCGGTTAATGTTGGAGAAAAATAATCAGACCCTTACCAGAGCCCTATTAATTTTTCTACTCAGGTTAGGCTAAATCGGAGATTGTGGATTGTCTGACTTCCGAGGGAGAATTTGCTCATCGCTCATAAAGAACGTAAATCCTTCGCACACGTTCTGACAAGTTTGGAGGAGCATTGATTTCACTTCTGGACAGGAAGGATAAATTTACTCTCTCTCTCTCTCTCTCTCTCTCTCTCTCTCTCTCTCTCTCTCTCTCTCGCACGATTCTCAATCACTATTTCATTTGCATGTTTTGCAGGTTGAGCTCTTTCCATGTAATTTCTGCGCTGAGGTGCACAAAGGGAGCAAGACTCGCCTCTGAATCTTGCCTACGACATCGCTGAGCGAAGTAGGAAACGCAAGTCAGGGTGTTCGCGAGTGCACACGAGGCTCTAACGAGGCAAGTGCGCTAAGCGAGTGATTAGTGAAAGGATGCGATGTTTTCCTGGATTAGCGGTAATTCGCAGCCGCTCGAAACAGAGGCAAGTTCAGCAATGTCGGCAACAAAGCGGCAGTACTTCACCGTGCACCGTTGTCGCCGGGTCGGCGGACATTGAAATCATCAGAGCATGGAGTACAATTCAGGGACATTAGACCCGCTAGATGATGACATCTGCGTGTTGCATTGTTCAAAACGATAATCTGCGACCATTTTGCGATTGCGCACTTTCTCGCACGTTGAAGTCAAAATCTCGTCGAGAGTGTGTGTCAATAACTTCACGCGTAAATTGTAATACGCAGCAAAAACAAGCCTTTTACGAAATTAATTTACTGTACAAATGGATGAGTGAAAAGCGCTCAAGACAAATATCAATATCAAGTTTTAATAATTTAAATTTATCGACCGTGAGTAAGTCCATTACTGAAGACGCATGGAAGCTTAATAATAAACGCGGACGCGCACGTCTCCCGAGAGGAAAACTAAAGTACGAAGATTCAAATTGCGCTTCTACGTGGACGAAGCGACGCTAAGAGGCAATCGAATGGAATAATTTAGACTTGAAGAAAGATTAGAGAAGAATTTATGAAACCGCGTCGCGTACTATTTACCTCGTTGCTTTCCCGGATCGTGCTCGACGATGAAGGCTGGCATAGCGGTAACAGTTTGATAGTCAGTTTCGATGACATCCTGTTCGTCGTTTTGCTTCGATCCGAGCAACGTCTGCATCGCCGTCACGTCGCCGCAGCTCCTCCGAGTGTACTTGCTTCTGGAGATCCGCAGCAAGGCGGTGGCGCTCGGATCCTGACTGCTGTCCCGCGGCATCGGAGTGCCCGACGGCTCGTCCAGGGCCACAGGACTCGACACGGACAGAGCGACATCGTCGACGCTGTGACGCCTCGATTTCGACAGACGCTTAAACATTGTCTAGCTGCAGACCAAAGCGAAGTTGTGATGAAACTTGCAGACAATTAAGCTATTGAAAAGAGCAAGAGCGACAGAGGAGAAAGAGCGAGAGAGAGAGAGAGAGAGAGAGAGAGAGAGAGAGAGAGAAAGGGAAAAAGAGAGAGAGGACAGAATTGACTTTTCTTGCGATCGGCCACTTGCGTGAAGGCCGCTTGCTATTATTTATTTTTTTCCTCATCAAGGTTCCCGGATTTCAGTCTCATGCTCTTACGGTGACGTGGTGATTTACGCACGCGAGCTGAGAAAGAAGAAGGCAGGTAAAAACAACTTTCGTGGAATGAAACGCCGTTGCATTTTACCTTCTCCTATCCCTTTCTCTTATTTCGTATCTCTCTCTCTCTCTCTCTCTCTCTCTCTCTCTCTTCTTCTATTCTCGTCACGTTATCATCCTTGATAACCATTGTCGCCTTTATAACTTCATGCACAAAAGTAGTTGCGGTTACCGCAAGTCATACCGGATGAAAGTCGAGAGCGCAGGAAACATATACGCACACCTTATATAATCAAAGTGTGTTACACTATAAATATAAAAAAGAAGAAGCATTCTTTCGATATCAATTTTGCTCAGGCTCAGACTCGTCTTAGTGCTCGTCTCTCCTCGCCGGTGATAATGTCAGCAAAGGTCAATCTTGCAGTTTCCCGATCTTTGGCACTCTAATTTTTATAGAGAAACCTCACGCGTTAAAGTAAACTGCATCGAAATCGCAGAGTTTCAGTCTTCATCGCTCATTCCCTGTAATGTTCACTTCGCCGAGCGTTCTCCCTGCTTAGGGCCGATTTTTCAATAATGGTTTAAACTTAGATCAAAGTTTAAACTCTGTTCAAAAGCATTAGACTGTTTTTCAATGGATAGATCAGAGTAAAACGTTTAATTTAAAATATAGTTTAACTAAACTGTGAATGAGATGACCGTTTAAACATCGTTTAATGGATCAAGAAACGTCGTTAAACAATATAGTATCTCTATTACTAAATTTAAAATCATATTGTTAAATATTTATAAAAGTATAAAATATTTGTTACGATGTTTTATAAAGAATATTATGAATAGAGTAGTGAAGATGAGGACATTTTAGGATATATAAAACAAGTCAACATGAGAAAAAATCATATTGTAAGACGAAGACCAAATCATTTTGAAATTTGAGATGAAAAAGGATTTCTTCAAAAATTTTGCTTATCTCCAAAGCTACTACAAAGTTTATATATTAATAAAAATAAATTCAAGACGTTGTTGAATCACCAACTGAAAGGTATTAATACAATGTGTCATATAAATTAAATGACATATATAAAATATTTTTCAATTATATTAGTTATTAATTAACTAGTTGCAAAATATGGTGTTTACTGATAGTGAATATTATGCAAATAGTATAAAATTTATTTATATTATATTTTTTTTACTTTTTTCAGAAATTAGGCTCTTTCAGTATGTATGAAATGATATTATTAACATTAAGATTTTGTGCTGGTGGATCTTTTTTACGTAGGTGATTTTGTCATTGGTGTTTATAAAAATATGGCAAGTAAAATAATTAATAAAGTTTCAAGGGCAATTACTCAACTTAGACTTGCATATGTAAAATTTCCGAAGAAGATATTGAAAGACTTCATGAAAAGGTTTACAATATTGCAAGATTTCCACGTTGTGTGGGTCCCTTGGATAGACTGCGCTCATATCTGAATTAAATCTCCACATGTCTAAAAGTGACCCCCGCACAGCGATGACTTTTCGTTGCCAACTTAAGAACAACAAAGGTTCATCTAAACTGTCTTCAGCGTATGCTTGAAAAACATACAAGATGTAAAACTGGGTTTATAGATCAAGGAAGGATCAGATAATCTTTAGTTTAAACCACGATTAAAAACCCGGCCCTTATGCCCATTTCTACCAATCTTGGTTAACTCAACCGATTGGTTATCCCAACGAAATTAACCAATCGCATTTGTCGTCAATTAGAATTGTTAAATGCGATTGGTCCGTTCCGATGGAATAACCAGTCGGTTAAATTAACCATGGTTGGTAGAAACGGACATTTAGTCGTTCACAATTCGTAAACTGCCGATGCCGCGGCGTCTCCGCGTCGAACATCGCGTCATTGAAAAATAACGCGATAGAAGTGGCACGCACCTTGTACACACCGTTGCTGGACTACACGAGACTAGAGAAAGTCTCGTTGCGTATGCAGGAACTGCATGTTCGCGCATGCATTTTTGCAGTCGTCGAATATTGCGCGATTTCACATAACGCGCATAGCGCAGCGCTCGTAATGCGTTCACGCTGACGCAGCATCGTCATCGGAGAGGTCGCATTATCAGCGGGGAAGAAGAAAGATCGGCCGACATTCTTGATTTCACCGCTATCGACATCCAATGCTTTCTATCTCGCCCGCGAGCGCGCCAAGTTGTCCCAGAACCGGCCGTCGCAACGGATACGTATTAATCTGCGATTGAAACTTCCTCATGTCGCAACTTCTATGTCAAGTGCACCTCGTTACGTGGCTCTTCGTTTTGCGTCGTACTTTTTCGTTTCACTTGTCGATCGTTAGCGGTGCCTCTCGGACGCTTGCATCACGTTTGGAATTTCCTCCCCGACGATAGCATCTCGCCGGGGCGTTTCTGCCTTCGTATCAATTTCTTTTCTTCTCTTACCAACGTTTCAATTGCCCGCCGGCCGCCGGCCATTTCGCGCTCTGTCATTTTGTTACCTGCGAGCTAACATTACGCGACATTATTTGTCTCGCAAATCTATAACGCACGCACGCGCGATTCCCGCCGACGTCGACGGTCACGTCTTCGTCGCGAGGTGTCGAATCGAGACGGACCCGCGTCCGCATAAACTGCACCTTCGCGACGTCGCATTAGGAGGGCTCAAGGGTGTTTCCGGCGTGTGCACGCACGATTAAGTTTTCAATGCGATTACACGGTCAAGTGGAAGAAGAAACCTACGCGCGCAGCGGACGACATCGGAAACTGAGGAGCGCGAGGATGATTCTTTCGCAACTGACGTTTTCCTCTTTTTCTTCAACAAAGCCGTCTATTTTTAGCCCGTATGACGTAGTAGCCGACGGCAGTGGGGGTTCAACGACCCAGGCCGGAAGAGATACAAAATAACACGAGGACACTCACACGATTCCGGCGAATCGTGCGATCGAGCTCTTCGAGTCCGATCGGGACTGGCGGAATCGATTCGCCCGGACGAGACATTTCGGTTTCGAGCCTCGTCGGCGGGGAGTTTTTCCGCGCTCCCGCATCGTCCGACCTCGCGGCCCGCATACCTACGACTAGCCGAGCATATCTCCGAGCGATTTAAAAACCGATCTTGAACTAGCGCGAACTGTCCGGCCACCTGCAAATTCCGCGCGCCGCGCCGCGCCGGGTCGAACTGGTTTCTCAGTCGCCGGCGATATTAACGGCATATTACGTTGATCCTTTCGATCCTCGTCAAAATAAACGGCAAGCTCCGATCGGCAACCTGACTGCCTAGACAGAGATCGCGAGGCCGCAATTTTATTTCGCCTCTAATGATCGTCCCACGGCGACGCTGGCGCATCTGTTCGCTCCAGGAGGAGAGCCGCGAGCGTCAAAGTTTCTCTCGACGAGAGAGAGAGGGAGAGAGAGAGAGAGAGAGAGGAAGAGAGAGAGAGAGCTGCCCGGGCAAAAGGCCGTTTGATCCGAGGGACAATTCGCGATTGGGACTTTCCGTGTGTGTGTGTGTGTGTGTGCCGAAACGTAGCGCGCTCGCTGATCACCGACCTGCCGCTTCATTTACCCCCGCTCTGCGTCGCAGATATTGTGTTACGCACAAACGGGTAACGAGAGGCCAGCGGAAAGGTATCGGATGTTGCGCGGCATAAGGGCAACGTCGAAGCAGAAGGGGTTGCATCCGTCCTCCTTTTCCTCCTTTTTTCGGAAAGGCGCGGTCTTCGACGAATATCGACTATCCCGGAGCGCCCGGGCGCTCCTCTCGACGCGATACGACCCCTGCGCTGGTAAGACGATGAAGCGAGCGGGATTGTTTATTGTCCGAGTCGTTGAGCGAGCGGATCACCGCTTTATTAGCTCGTCTATGGCTATACGAAGAGCTGAGACTGCCAGGATATGGCAGAAGCTCGTTTCCCAATAAATTTCCCCGGGCTTAATTGGCGAGATGTTTAATGTCGAAGAAGAACGAATAATGATCTCTCTCTCTCTCTCTCTCTTTCTCCTTCACTGCCGTAGCCGAGAAACAGCGCGAGGGAAAGGCAGAGGGGAATTTACAGCTTCAAAGTTATCGCAGCATCTGCGATTGGAAAGTTATACCCCGAGGTTTACGGACACCTGCCACGTAGTCGCGCACGCGTACATAAAAAGTGTTTAAAGCGCCGACCGGAAAATAGGAGTTTTATGCTGCGGCAATCGTAAAGTCGAGTTATAATTATGCGCGAGAGCGCGATACGTGATTAAAGCGAGCTCGAGTCCGGGATATCACGGCTGTGAGATCTGTCGATTTACTACAGCCGCGGACAGGAATCGAATCCGTCTCTCCTGCGAGCGCGTAATTTCGGCGAGCTCCGAAAAAGGATTTTGCGAACTGGCCGACGTGTGGCGACCGAGGCGACCGTCGCGAGTCGCCGCGGATCGTCCGAAGCGGACAGGCTCGGCCGGACACACACGTGAGCGAGCCGAGCGTGAAGTATTTACGACGGCAGATAAGGGTGTATTTCGCGTCATTATCACCGTCCGCGGGCGAATGTCTTCCGTCTCGTCAGCCTCCGCTTTTTACGGCGCATCTGGACGCGCTCGGCGTAACGTCCGCGCGAGCGTGCGTGCGTGAGTGCGTGCGGTGCACCGCGCTGCGGACGTAATTGTATAAGGCGGAGGGTAGTCGACGCCTTAGATGGTTTCAAATACAGCGGCAGCGCGAGCCAGACTCACTCGGCGAGTGCAACTTGGTCTCCGTCTAGGCAAAAACTAGGATAG